ATAGCACACACTGTGACAATATAGTTTATAAGTAGATCACCAAAAACATACCTAATCGTGCGGCCACATTTCAAACACGATCTGACTCTGAAGTTCAGTTCGTTGTCTTCTTCTGGTGATGTTTTGTTTAAACCAACCTTCCGCCACCTATTGGTCTAGAATTATTAGGGCACATAGAGGGATTGGGGAAATTTATATATAATATATATATAAATTTATATTAATTATATTTATATATAAATACATATATTTTTTTACGTCGTCTCCCATCTCCTGTACACGTTCACATTGCGCATACGCAGGGACTCCCAACACATTGAAGAAATTAAAATAGGAGTAGCAGAACACATTAATGTTTTTGTCATATGCAGCAATTACCAAAATCCAGTAAATATATGAAGTTATTAATGTACATATGATTATTGTGAAACACTCTACTGAATTATGAGGCAGCAACAGCTTGTGGGCAAGCCAAAAAGCTGAAATCGTACTGTTATTTGAACACTATCTGTAAAAAAAATAAATAAACTTAACCATTTCAAATTGTATTCACTCTAAAACTGTATTCATTGTTCTTTGCACCAGACAATGAAAACAGGCCTTTAATCCAACAAACTAGATGCTCTTAAGTACTGTTTATTAAGTTGTTTAGTTTAACTACAAACAAATTTGTAAAAATCAGTTATGTTTACTCGCTTTTCTTAAGTAGATTCAGTGATTACTTTTTACAGTGTATACCAGTTTCTTCTGGGAAGGCTTTCCACTAGAAGTAAGAACATTTGATTTCTCCAAAGAAATGTAATACTATCAAAGAAGTGTAATACGATGTCTCTATCAAACTATTGCAATACTGCTCTGTATATGTGCAACCCGGCACAGCAACATTGAATCAACCAATGAGTTTGAGGAAGTGTAATAAAAAAATAAATAAAAACATTTTCAGTTCTTTCCCACTAATTCCAGAGAAATCCCATCAATTTCTAAACTTTCCCCAAACATGGTTTGCATTTTGTGTTAAATTTAGTTCAGTCACGGCCATGTAAATTGGCAGTCTCCATATACTCAAAAGGGTTAAAAGCAACGAAGAGCAACATTAATCTGTGATTCACTTAAATTCCTATAGTTTTTGTCATATTAAAATAGTTCTTAATATAATGCATTTTACGAATAAGACAGAACACTTCTTGAATTTGATACTATTTTTGAAATAATGTAACATAAAAAATATCATATCGTTGTGTTTACTGATAACAATCTACACTTGTATGTATTGTATTTGAATACTGGGTATTTGTAATTGAATGCTGTAAATAAGCACTATAACAGTAATGTCTTCAGTGAACCCTGTAGAGGAAAATCTTGTTATGAGCTAAATTTATATACTTACCGGTTACATGCAAAAGAGAGAAAAATAGGGACAAAGCATAAAAAGCGGTAAATTGCTGTTGCTTCACATTACTCAACAGTTATGATGTTATACTTTCCTATTTGAGACAGGTAACATACAGGTCTAGCAGCAATTTAGTAAAAGTACTAAAGTTATTACTCTATTGTGCATTGTGTGTTAAGTATTTTCATATGTAGAGCCTATTTGTTGATCGTATGTTTCACCTAAGCTCTGACATCTACAAGAAACGAGGTACCATTCGCTGTGATTTAATCAAGCACCTTGTTCTTTTGCTTGCTGTTATTCCGCAGGATGTTAACATTAGAAGTGATGAATGTTTCTAACGTTTGCCTCAGTAAGATTAGCGGCGTCTCTTTCATCTGTGGAAATTCTGAGAGCTGTTTTCGAGCAAGCAGTTCAAAATGTCTCGGCTTTGAAGCGAGCGCTTTGAAAGAGAATTCATTCTGCATCCTCAAGGTCTGAGGAGTATGTCTGTAACAGTGCTGTTAAAATGCTGAGAAAGCCTGAGGATGAGCATGCTGGGGTTGGACATGGGTCAGCAAATTGTTTGTTTTAATATACTTGCATTTTAGTGATATTGTAATAAGATGTGGTTCTGTGTTTGTTAGTGGTGTTTCATAAGAAAAAACATCTGTAGTTGATCGGAACCTCTTAATTAATTACTGATGGTGGAAATGGGGATTTTCAATGCCACTATTTTGTGAAGCTCAACAATCTTTTTCTGCACATCAGAACTATATTCTTTGGTTTTACTCCTTGTCAAGTCAAGTCAAGTCATGTGTGGACATGCAGTGGAACAAAATACCGTGTCTCGCAGGACCACAGTGCTACATAAATAAACATAAATATAAACTTACAACACTAGACGTAAGAGCAATTTTTAAACATATACAGTACATAACTAACTTACTGAAAGTGGTAATCTAGCTTGGTGGAAATGGGGATTTTCAATGCCACTATTTTGTGAAGCTCAACAATCTTTTTCTGCACATCAGAACTATATTCTTTGGTTTTACTCCTTGTCAAGTCAAGTCAAGTCATGTGTGGACATGCAGTGGAACAAAATACCGTGTCTCGCAGGACCACAGTGCTACATAAATAAACATAAATATAAACTTACAACACTAGACGTAAGAGCAATTTTTAAACATATACAGTACATAACTAACTTACTGAAAGAGGTAATCTAACTCTACATATACTATAAATAGTTGACTATACATATACATAACCTAAGACAGACTATACAAGTACTTTACATAATAACTGTGCATGATATTGTGCAAAAGAGGTATTTAAGGTTAAAGTCACCATGAAATCAAAATTGAAAATTCTTATTTTTAATGGAATACCATAGTGTTTATTATAAATAATTTATCCGTGCATAATTTTTTTTTAATTCATGTGCCCTCGTAATCTTTAATCAAAAACGTTAACCTCCCCTCCCCTCAAAACGTCTCCTCTACTCTTCCGGTCACGAGCTATGGCGCAAGGCTCGGAGCTAGTGACGTGAGGGGTAAACGCTGGGATAAACGACAGAAAAGCTGAAGCTGATGTTTCACTTTATAGAACTGACACCAGTCATGAGGGAGTACTTTACCCTTAAACATTGAAAAGATATTAGGATATTACGACAACATTACTCTTAGGACATGGCAACATTTTTTTTCATGAATATGACTTAACCTGATCTCTCTCTCTCTCTCTCTCTCTCTCTCTCTCTCACTGTTTAGGCATGTTTTGTGCCGTTGATCGTCGTCGTCATCCTTAATAAATAAAACATTTATTCATGCTTGGGTGTTGGCGGTGAATCCAGTGTAGAGAAATCCCCCATCACTAACTGCAAACTGGCATTCAGATCTGCCTCCATTTTGTTAGCAACGCCCCAGCTTCCAACGATCCAATAAATTCCCGAAGGACGAAATCAAGTCCCGCCCTCTCATTTCAGATGCCGTTTCACTCGGATATACGTCACAGTAGAGAAGAAAAGACAATCGCAGCTTCCATTTCATGCCGACTTTAAGAAGCAAATAGTGCAATATGAATTGTGGTGCATTCACAAGTAAACATTTGTTAAGTTCTTATTAAGTTCTTGTAACATGGAGTGTTTATAACACCAATCCAATAAATTCCCGAAGGACGAAATCAAGTCCCGCCCTCTCATTTCAGATGCCGTTTCACTCGGATATACGTCACAGTAGAGAAGAAAAGACAATCGCAGCTTCCATTTCATGTCGACTTTAAGAAGCAAATAGTGCAATATGAATTGTGGTGCATTCACAAGTAAACATTTGTTAAGTTCTTATTAAGTTCTTGTAACATGGAGTGTTTATAACACCAGGAGGGATGGGTGGGGTTCTTCACGATACTGGTGGCTTTACTGGAGCATCGTGCACGGAAAATATCCAGAATGGAGGGGAGAGGGGCACCAATGATCTTTGCAGCTGGGTTCACTGTCTGCTGTAGGGTCTTGCGGTCAGCAGCACTGCAGTTCCCGAACCAGACAGTGATAAAGCTGGTCAGCACACTCTCAATGGTGCCCCTGTAGTGAGGATGGGAGGAGGAAGACTTGCTCTTTTAAGTCGGTGCAGGAAGTGGAGCCACTGTTGTGCCTTCTTGGAGAGTGATGTAGTGTTGGTGGTCCAGGTGAGGTCTTCTGTTATGTGCACTCCAAGGAATTTTGTGCTGCTGACTCTCTCCACAATCGAGCTGTTGATGGTCAGTGGGGGGTGGTAAACAGAGTTCCTCCTGAAGTTCATCAGAACCTCCGTTGTCTTACTCACATTGAGGGACAGGTTGTTTGCACCACACCATTCAACCAGTTGTGCCACTTCCTCTCTGTAGGGTGTTTCATCATTGTTGCTGATGAGACCTACCACAGTTGTGTCATCAGCAAACTTGATGATGTGGTTGGAGCTGAACTTGGCAGTGCAGTCGTGGTTAAGCAGCGTGAAGAGCAGCGGGCTGAGCACACAGCCCTGTGGGGCACCTGTGTTCAGTGTGGTAGTGCTGGAGGTGTTGCAGCCTACACGGACTGACTGAGGTCATCCAGTTAGAAAGTTCAGGATCCAATTACAGAGGGAGGTGTTTAGGCCCAGCAAAGCACTTCATCATGATTGGAGTCAGCACTATGGGACGGTAGTCATTTAGACAGGACACAGATTATTTATTTGGTACCGGTATGATTGTTGTGGATTTGAGACGATGTGGGGATGACTGCCTGGCTCAGCGAGGTGTTGAAGATATCTGTTAGGACATGTGCAGCACAGTCTCTCAGTACACGGCCAGGTATGTTGTCAGGACCCGCAGCCTTTCATGGGTTAATCCTAGATAGGGTCTCCCTTACGTCGGCTGGAGACAGACAGAGCGCCTGGTCGTTGGGAGGTGTGGGCAGTTTTTGTCCAGGTGTGTCATTCTGCATTTCAAACCATGAATAAAAGTGGTTGAGTACATCTGGGAGGGATGTGTCATCATCACAGGCCTGTGGCAGGGGTTTGTAGTCAGGGATGGTCTGAATGGCTGGCCACAGGCTCTGTGTGTCTCTGCTGTCTGTGAAGTGATTATTGATTTTTTGTGTATATGACCGTTTCACATTCTTGATGCCACAGGACAGATTGGCTCTTGCTGTTTTGAGGGCTGCTTTATCTCCTGATCTGAATGTGTCATTTCGGGTCTTTAGCAGCCCACAAACCTCTGCTGTCATCCACGGCTTCTGGTTTGCACATGTGATGGATGATTAAGGGAATTTGACCTTTGTGTTCCTCATATTTATAATCCTGTGAAACAGGAAGTCAGCGCTTGATAATTTCATGCTCCCAGTCACCCTGGTGTGCCAAAAAATTTAAATATGAATGAGAATATACTTCAGAGACATTTTACTCATAATAATTTTTAGGTGTGCCTATAATTGTGGCCAACATGCTTTGGAGAAAAATATTTATTTCATCATGAGACTTTCTCCCCACTTTCAATTGTTTTACTGATGAAAGATCAAAAAGATCAACGATGCAGTTTTTTTTTTCACAGCCGCCTTTGCTCATATTTACCAAGAGTGCCAATATTAGTGGAGGGTACTGTATTTCTCCTAAGGAAATTTGGAGGAAGCATCTGAGACACTGTTGATGCTAAATTGAGAGCTATATGAAAATTATCATCAAGTCTCCTGAGCTTATGAAAATCAAACTCTGAGCAATATATATATATATATATATATATATATATTTTCTATGGCTATGGCTACATTCACACAGTGGAAGAATACAGTTGTCAGTCATGTTTTAGAGTGCTAAATATGGTTATGTCACACACAGTTTGATTGCAATGACAACTATATTCTATAACCAAACTGACCTTCAATTTTCAGGACTCACATCTGCAATTTTCAGCGTGAGTTCAGTCAACCTGAGTTGTCAAACTGTCATACAGTCAGTCACTCACGCTGCACTCCACAAATGCTTAATGCGTATGTGTTGTATGTTTTCATGTGCGGTCTGGGATAAAAATACTCTCTGAGATGTGTCTTCCCAAGGTTTCATATCTAGTCACTGTTTTTCTTTAGTACTGCTTTCATCAGTTTTGTAGTCCGGGCTGCAATCTAAAGCAGCTGAAAGATTAAAGTGTTCATGGATTTTTTTTTTATATCTTCCTTGGGGTTTACTCTTATAATGTTAATAAAGTTTTTTGCTCAAAAATAAATATGTAGAAAAATGCATATTTCCAACCCTTATTCTGACCCTCTGAAATGACCTGTTTTGAGAGGCAGGTCCTTTAAAGGTTTACCCAAAAATGAGAGATAGCAAAACAAAAAGCCGGTCATGAATTAGAAGCACAAAATGAAGATTTGTGAAGAAAAATGTAGGAGGATTTCGATATAAGCCAAGAAGAGACTGGTTTTTCTTTGGTAAAGTAAGGAAACTTTGCTTCCTTTGCTCCTGTGAACAAACTCGCGAGACTAGCATATCTCACAGGTGCAACGTATATGTCCTACATCATCTGCCGGAACGGCTTGCACTTAAGTCAGCAGAAGTGAGAAAAAAAGTGTTCATAACATTTCAAATATGGATATTTTTCTTACATTTTTGTAAGCAAATGTTTGTGCCCGGGTGACCTCAGATCCAAAACGAGCATTTTTGGAGCTTAAATGCTTTGTTTATAACGTGGAGGACGTTTTAAGTTACGAAACTTGCAGAATGCTTTAATGGTACAAAGACCTTCACACGGTCACAGTGAACATCAACATCAACAAACACAGTATAAAATAAAGGAAACACTTTATTTTAAGGTCCAATTCTCACTATTTACGTACTAGCATTCATATTACTAACATGGCTGTTTTTTAATACTTATAAAGCAGCATTAATGCCTTATAATGCACGACCATATTTTAGATCCCTTAATCCAACCCATTCCTAAACTTAACTTCCTTACTAACTATTAATACGCAGCAAGTTAGGAGTTTAATAAGGCAGAAGTCATATTTAATAGTTAATATGAGAACCGAACCTTCAAATAAAGTGTAACAAAAAATGAATAAATAGACATTGTTTTAAGGGGTTAGGGGGCATATTTAGAGAGCAGAATGTAATAGAGACATAAGGTTGACTATCTTGACTTGAGTCTATAGAAACCACCAAGTTCTGTAAATGTAAAAATGTATAGTTTCTTGCTCCTTGCTTTTGTTACAGTGCAGCACCAGTGGCCTGACAGGAGGCATTGATGTGTGGGTGTTAAACTTGCTCGGCTGTGCAACAATTTGATTTTATATCACTGTGTCTCTTGGCAGAGAGTATTTGACCTTTGAGATGGTTGTCGTAGCAACAGGTAAACTTTCAAACCTCCTCACTGCCCTTGATGCACTTCGTCTTCGGAGGGAGTGCTTTAAATCAATAGAGAGAAGCACTGCTGTAATCACGTCCACAGTTACTTGTGCTTTTGATTTGGAGCCTACGAGCTTTTGAAAATATCGTGAAAGGAATGCCAGTCCACTGTGCTGTTTTGTTTTGTGACAAACATTGACAAGGGATGGTGATAGTGAGATGAATAAAAGTGGAAAAGGCCAACAAACAAACCGACATGCTCTAATATTTCAAATATGGAAGAATATGAACTTGCAGATGCATTCAAGGATAACACATAAGAGCAAGTGAACTGCAAACTGCCTTTTGCTTTTCTCCTGACCAAGAGGCAAGCATGAGTGGAGGAACATATAGTTCTCACATGCTTTTCAAGAGTCTTTGGACTAAATGTCTTTCTTTATACCATGAAAACAGTGCTGACTGGCATCTTGTGTAGCACATTATGTTATTCCTGCACCATGTTTGACTAGAACAGCAATCTAATCCTGAACTTCAGTGAAACAAAAGAGATTATTATTATGAAGAAAAATAGGGAAACACCAATCACTGCTCATGTACTATATATATGTTCCTCATTTGACACATCCAATTGAATTGGCTGAGCGCTCTACATGAGCTGTTGAGTTAAATGAGGCATGTTAGAGAGGCAGTCCAAATGTGTTGTGGGACTGAATTCTCTCCATAACTTTATAGAGTGCACTATTTAGGGTGGCAGCCAATAGTGTGCACAAAACCATAGTAAAGATTATCCAGTGCGTTCATTCAATACCCAATACTCAACGATTAGAGAATACCCAAAATGCAGTGTGTAGGTCTCACGAAATTGTGTATGTGACAAAATAGTGAATGTGACAGCTTCGCAGCCCTCTCCAGTTCATGGTTCATCAGTGTCCGAATTCTTCAGAAACCACTGGTGTGTGTGTGTGTGTACCTGTCTTTCTCAGACTCATGGGGACTCATGTCACGGTGGGGACCTAAATTGAGGTCCCCACTGGTAAACAAGCTAATAAATCACACAGAATGAAGTTTTTTGAAAATCTAAAAATGCACAACGTTTCCTGTAAAATGTAGGTGTAGGGTTGGTGTAGGGTAATAGAATAAACGGTGTGCACAGTAGAAAAACCATTAAGCCTATGGAGAGTCCCCACAAGGATAGCAAACCAGACATGTGTGTGTGCGTGCGTGTGTGTGTGTGTGTGTGTGTGATAAACTACGTTACACAGAAGCATTTGATGACTGCAGTGTGTTTTGCTTTTCAGACTATCGCACCATAAGCACCATTTTTAATTTATATATTTATTTATTTTTAATGAGACCTTGTCATACTAAAACAGTTCATCTTCTGGGCCGAGTTGCAGTACACCCCTTTGAAAATCCTTTGTTATAATTGTGAGGGGAATCATGGTGTTTCTATATGCTCTGACTCAAACAAATACAATTGTTCATCATGCAGTTTTCAGTACAGTTCTATGTGTCATGGTGGGGCATACTTTTAAAAGTAATGCATTACATTATTGCATTACTCCTAAAAGTAGCTAACTGTGTTACTTTAGTGTTTCTGTTACTTTTGCATTACTTTTTCCAATCTGGCCTAGGCTTTCTTGTCTGTTTTTCATATAAAAAGTTATATTTTTGCTAAATGTAAAAGCCCTTTCACACCAAAAGTGAAATGAATAAGCCTCAGGCTGAAGGAAATGCAGATTCAAAAATCTGAAATGCCATTCTGGACTGCATGAAGACGCAAGAAAAACATGTTATGTTTAAAGTCATTTTTGCTTATTAGTATGGTTGAATTGGATCATTGAAGGTCAGCATGTTGGTTAATGAAATGGGAATACATAAAGGGTATTTTTTTAATTTCATTGTTTAATTCATTTGGAGGAATACTGAATCTGTTTTTGTGCAGGTGAGATGAGTAAATACATGTTCATATTTAGTCTAGATCTACAGTAACATCATGTTCACACTGCGCACACAACACCTCTGCACTTACTCCCAATTTCTCTCAACATGGCAACACAAGAGCTGTCAGCCAATTCATAGGAAAACAAAGTAACTGGTGTTATTTATTTGAAATAGTAATAGAGATATGTTCTTGTAACTTAATTTCCTATCTATATTTTAAAAACAGTATGTCATGACCTCTCTAATAACATATGTTAAAGCGGTAAAGCTGGATCTCCACATTATAGCTAATGTGAAGAAGGACATCTTTTCAAGATGCCAAAGACCTACGGCAGCTCACCTGTTTCTTGGCTCTATCACACCTAATTCAGCACTTGCAGGTAAAGTCCCCATCCTCCAAACAGGGGGATCCGCCACACAGTAGGCCTGTAGCTGTATTTATTACTCCCAGGATGTTGTTCGTAATAAACAGTAACCAAATGAAATAAAATCGCCCTCCGCTTCACAAAATCAGGATCTGTGCAGATACAGCGAGTGCATGCTCCCTTCGGTTTTATATATGCCACCAATGTTGTGCTGTCCCATGTGACTAGAATGTGTTGGTTTCAAAAAAATGAACGAAGTGGCCAGAAATACCATGAATAAGGAAAATATCTGTCATGGTGGGGTCCATCAACACTTTGCCCTTAAACAATGACTCCCAGCCTTTGTGTGATGTGTCAGTCATTATCAGTTTCCTCATTAAAACAGTGACACTTTAGGATGCTGCTCGGTTGTTAATGAAAAACTACACAGCAACACATGATTAACACAATTTTAAAACTATAGTAACTACTAAGTACCATGCAACTCTGATTAATTAAGTAGTAAGTAATAGCGCTCATTTGAAAGCGGTAGTTGACTAAT